TGCCCATCCTATTTGCTGAATCACAAGTAATGGAATACTTTGCCTCTGACCAAGATGTTTCAGATCTTCTGTTAGCATCCACTAAACAGTAATAGGCTAGTTTTTAAGCTTGTAATTAGGTAAAATCAAATCCTAGACCCTGACAATATTTACATAAAATTCGACAAGGGTAAAGGATAGGATGTTGGAAGGCAAAGTGGTGAGAAGTTGACATGGAGGCTAAAAAGAAAGATAAGGCCCTAACTCATCATAAATAATTAGGAATGACTGTCTCATAGGTACTATTCTTCATGATTAATTTGCAATTTGTATGTATTTTCTCATTAAATATTTGTTGAATAAATGAATGTATAAAAAAGTATGAATGAAAGAAATTACTAGACTTAAAAGGTTAAGTAACTTAACACCATACACTCATAAATAGTGGAGAAAGATTCAAATTCAGATCTAATACCAAAGTTCATACTCTCAGGCACTGTTATGCTGTATCCAAAAAAGGACTAAAATGTGTATTATACAGTTTGGCTTCACCAATGCAGATGATGGGGAAACAATTTAGGATTTTAAACTGAAAAGCCATAGACTCTGAGATAAATGTCAAAAATACCACTTTAAATAACTTATGAAAGATGAATTAGAGACAAAAATAGTTCTAAAGAGATCATGTAAGATAATATCATAATAGTTCAACTGTGAGATGCCAAATGCAGGGAGAGAAAAATTGAAGAACCGGAAGTAAGAGTTATCTAAAAGGAACTGAAAGGATTTTAAAAAATTAACTGAATTTGGAGGATGACAAATAGGGAAAAATCTAAGATGACACCAAGGTTTCTAGTTTGGTTACTGAGTCGGTGTGGCATCAATTAAACTTGGGAATGGGAAGAGGAAACGAAAAGGGATCCAATGGTGTTAAGTACTACTTAATGCTGAGAACTATTTTATATTAACAGTTTTTTCATAAAACCTTTAAGACTAAGATACTATTCTTAAGATATAAGATATTATTCTCATTTACACAAGAGAAATACAAGCAGCAGAAAGATTAAGTAACCAGTTTCAGTTCATATAAATGTCAGAATTGAATGTGAACATTCTCCTCTATCTCCAGAGACCATGTTCATTCTACTGTACCAAACTGTTTCTATAAAACATAGACATCTGCTGAACACCTGCCTGGTTTATATTTAAAGCACCTTGCATGCATTTAAAAACAAAGGTCTTGAGCTTGGAAGGAGAAAGCTGAAGAAAGAGACTCAAGTATCATTAGCATGCAGAGATAGTTAAAATCATGGAAATGGATGATCCGAACTGAAAGAAAAATCCTAAAGTTAGAACCTGGCATTTATGGTGCAGGCAAACAAGACCTAACAAAAGCCTGAGAAGGAAGAGTCAGAGGAGCAGAAGCAAATCCCAAAAGACTGTTATCTCAAAAGCTAGTGGAAAGGGTTTCTTCTACTATTCCATTAGAATAAACACAGTTTTGATACTACTTTGGTTGTATTAACCCAGAAACTTAAGAAAGTCCTGATTCTGCTTTGATATTCACCCCTTCTTCATACAGTGATCTCTTCACAGGAATCTGTATATGTAAGGAACATTAATTAAAAGGAGATAGCAAAATATCATTTTATTATTATTTGAATTAGTCTTAATTACTTCCAGTGGAAAGTTCTTTGGTAAAAGTGGAGCTAGAAAACCAAGGTTGGAGTCCTATATTGGGACTCCATTTCTTCAGATAAATCTTGTGATGAGCAGGCTTAGGAATATCTTCAGAAGGAAAGAAATGGGCAGATCTACAGAACTGGCTCAAGTCTAACTCACCCAACAATTTGCCAGCAATAAAAATAAATAGGTGCTCAGAATGCTGTTCAGAGTGGTCCCCCCGGCAAAACAAAACAAAACAAAACCAAAAACCTTTAGATTCTGAAAGTAATTTCAGATTTAGTTGATTAGTAACTACGAGGTGATTTAAGATTGAGTAATAAGAAAAAAGTGAGATAGATTTAGAAAGAAACTGTTAAGGTAGGCATTAAAACTGCTCTAAAAATATTTCCTACCTAAATATATATACAAATATCAGAAACTTAGTAAAAATTCAAGAATTTTAGATTTTAGAGAGTTTTAGTTTTACAGGAAGGCCTAAATGTCTACAAATAATTATAGCCTGAGACTCAGTTATTCGTATCTGGGGAAAACCTGTATATCTAGTAAACATTAACCAAATGTTAATTTTAGTATCTAGGAAGAAATAAACAATATTTAAAGTATTGACCTTACAAATATCAACATATAAGATGCCAAAAAGTTACATATTTTCTTTAACTTTTAGGTAAAAATGAATTTATGTGTATCTGGTCTGTTAAAAGATGTTCATTTGCTCAAAATGCCCCAATTCCAGACAAAAAATAAATTCTCTGTCTATCCTTCCATCTGACAAAATTTTCCAGATGTAAGACTATTACACTGTAGCAGCCTCATATCAGACTCCAGCAGATGTTGCACCTTGTCCTCATACTGGTTTTGTTTTAGGATGAAATGTGTAAGTACTCTCTCAATATCAGTATCTCCTAATGTTAGTACCATATGCACCTTTTCCAGACTTCTCTGTCATATCTCTTGATTCTTTCAGTTTTGGATCCTGCCCACCCACTGAACTGTCAACAATCTTAGGTTCCAGACCACAAGTCCAGCTGAACCCTCTGTCTTATTCTAGTCATTCAATAATCATTTAATGAGACTCTTTTAAGAATTAGACACTTTGCCATGTTCCTTGGCTTGGAGAAACTTACAGTCCAACAGAGGTGACATACATGTTAAAAAAAATACTGTGAGACAATATGATGAGTACTTTATTAGCAACAGGAATAATCTGCTTTAGGACTGAACAGGAAAGATTAGAAGTAACTCAGGTAAGATATCAGAATAGACATCTGAGTGATTCTTAAAAGGTCAGTAGAAGGTGCTTTTGAAACACAGGAGGGCACTCTAAGAAAAAGACAATTGAGGTGTAAAAGTAAAAACTACATTTGGTAAGGAAGTAGTCTATTACGGTCAGTGCATTTAGAGGAAAAAGTAGGTTTAGACTAACAAATAGTGTTGGGAAAATTGGATTTCTAAAAGCAAAAGATGAAAAAATGAAATCAGACCTTTATTTTACATTATACACAAAATCAACTCAAAATGCATTAAGGACTTAGATGTAAGACCTGAAACCATAAACTCCTAGAAGAAAACATAGGGGAAAAGCTTTTTAACATTGGGTGTGGCAAGGATTTCCTGGATATGACACCAAAAGCACAACAATATAAGCAAAAATAGACAAGTGAGACTACTTCAAACTAAAGTTTCTGCACAGCAAAGAAACAATCAACAAAATGAAAAGGCAAACTACAAAGTGGGAGAAAATATTTTCAAACCATATATCTGAAAAGGGTGTTAATCTCCAAATTACATAAGAAACTACAATTCGAAAGCAATCTCTCTCCTCCCCCCATCCCAATAACCTGATTAAAAAATGGGCAAGGACTAGAAGAGATATTTCTCCAAAGACGACACACAAATGGCCAGGAGGGATATGAAAAGGTGCTCAACACCACTAATTGTCAGGGAAATGCAAGACCATGATGTATCACTTCACACCTGAAAGGATGGCCATTATAAAACAAAACCCCAGACAATAACAAGTGTTGGTAAGGATGGATAAATTGGAATCCTTGTGCACTGTTGGTGAGAATATAAAATGGTCTGGCTGCAATGGAAAACAGTATGGAGGAGCCTTAAAAAATAAATAGAACTACCTTATGATTAAGCAATACATGATCATATATGAACTGCTATATATGATGCCTAAATTGCTATATTCTATAACTTTCAGTTAAGCAAACTGACTGTAAGCAAACTATAAGCCAACTTATGTAGCACTGCAAATGGAAAGTTTAATCTCTGATTTACTAAAAATTATGTTCATTAACCAGCCATTATAGGTTTCTCAAGGATTGTAACAAATAATGAAAAAAAATTATCCAAAGCTATCTCAATGAGCTGCCATTTACTATCCCAAGAATAAGATCAGAAAGACATTAAAAACATCATAATTATAGATTAAGGTGACTCTTGAAGTATAATTATAGTCAGAAGACCATATGGTAAAATAATTTTCACGTAAGCAAAATCAAGTTAGTCTTTATCTTTTTCCAAGGATACAGCACAAAACAGGACTTGAAATCAACATACCAGGTAATATATATTAGCTCCTTCTAAAGTGCTCAAAATTGACTCTACATCCCACATAAAAAAATATAAAAAGAAATTGAAGTACATAATGAACCTATTGTTCCAAATTCTACCTACATAAAATCTATTTTTTCATGATTATATACAGGGGAAATCTAAAAAGTTTTAAATTGAGATTATACTGTCTTCCATGCAAACATCTCACAGTATTTTAAAAATTTACTAGGAATGATAGCAATGTATGTGTTTTTAACTTCTCTTTAATTTTGGAAAAAGTATTTTCATTTCATGAAAAACATGTTAAAAAAGTCCCACTAAATTCAAATCACAGCTCTTCAATCACAAAATACTTCTCTACTGTCTATATAGTGCAAACATGCAATGTTGTTAGAGATTACACTAAAGTAAACATATTCTCTAGATGTTACTGTATAACTAAAGTGAAATGAATTGTTGTTCATGAGACTCCTGCACTAGAACATAAATATATACTCCTGTCCAGAAACAAGAGGTATATTTTATAGTGGATAGCAAAATCATTCCTAGCCATATCATCTCAACCCAAAGCAATCAAAATTTAAACATTATTCAAGCTTCCACCCTACAGTTTAAAAAAAAATTGCAGAAACCCTAATTTTTAACTTAAGAGGAATTCAGGATATATTTTTAAAATTCTGATAGGCCTAATGGTGTCTTTAAATAAACTACTCCTTTACTTGAAAACAATGAATGAGGAAAGTAAGTTTCAGTTTCCCTATGGTTCTTACCTGTATAATGCATCATCAATCTCCACAGATTCTGTTGGCATGATGAGCAAATTTGTATTCCCACTGAAAAAAGAAAACACAGCTTATAAGGGCAAGTATGGTTATTCAATATTCACATTCTCCAATGTAAAATTCAATTATACATGGGATCAGATTCATCAGGTACTAAAAGAGGTTTTATAAACCATATATATATTTTATTATCTACCACTTTAGATTTTTTTTAAAAAGTAGGTTGAAATTAAATTCACTGACTGCCCACACTGTGTGTATTATAAAATTAGAGCCCATGGCTGTTTCATTCTCAGGTTTTATCACTGCTACAAATATTCTGACAGAGATGTATTTTAATAATTTTGTTTGTGTTCCATAGACCTTCCTTAATATACATACTCTGCCTAGGTAATTTCATTCAGTCCATGGAATTTACCATACACTGATGATATCTAAGCTTATTTCTACATGTTTGATCTCTCCTCTGACCTCAGATTTTACACATCTGCCAGAGCAATATCTCTATTCTGATGTCTAACTGGTATCACAAACATAACATGTCTCAAACAGAATTTAATTCCCCTTATTTAGTCTCCTCTTCCTCAGTCTTTCCCAACTCACTTGCGACCAGCAAGTAAATGGTACCACCATTTACTCACTTGCTCAGGCCAGTAATACAGGGATCTTCTTAACCTGTTCCCTTATTTCCTCCATCTGTGAGTCTTGTTAGTTCTACCTTCAAAAGGGATCTCAAATCTGATTACTTGTCATTATTTGAATCAGTACAATCTCAGACCAAACCATCATATCTCATCTGAACTACTTCAATGGCTTAACTCTTCTACTTCTATTGCCCTTCCCCTTCAGTTGACTTTCCATCTAACAACCTAAATTCTTTAGAAACTAGTGAGACATTATTCCCTGACTTAGAACTATCCTTCAGCAAGTTTCCTTTACACTTAGAACAAAATTAAAACACCTTCTATACTTAAAAGGGTCTTTATGTCTGTCTCCCAATTACTTCTCCAACCTCAACTCCCACAACCCTTCCTCTTGCTCATTATCTTCAGTCACACTGGCCTACTACTGTTTCTTAAAAAGTCAAGCTTGTTATCACTTTAGAGTTTTTATACTTACTATTCCCTCTGCTTGGAATGTTCTTCCCTCAGATCTCTGAATAGCTGGCTCTTATCATTTAAATATTAAAATATTAAAATGTTGCTTCACAAATATTACACAGACCATTTCTGATCACCCTACTGAAACTGAGCAGAACTCTGTGGGGCCTTCCCTGGGACAGATTCCTGCTCCCTGTTCATTTGCAGGAAAGTTTTAGCCTCCTAGGCATCTCCCTATTTCCAAAAAGCAAATTTAATCAGAGAAGTGAGAAAATGCAGCAACAAAAGAAAGTAGTCAAGTAAGACAAAATAATAATAGTTAAGCCATATAACAAAGTCAAGGACCTTGAGTCCCTCTTCAAGGTCTATAGATAACATTCCGAGTCATATCCTCCAGTTGTTTCACAGATACTAAAATCCCCACCAGGCGGAAGACGTTAACTGCATGCAGACCAGTGGCAGGTAGACCCTAGGTCAGCTGGAACCAGAAAGCTGATAATGAAGATTCCAAATACATTACGCTGTTATCAACCAATCAGAGAACTGAGCACTGAGCTGATCACACACCCAACAATGCACCCCCTCAGACTATCTTTAAAAACCCTTCCCTGAAAACCAGTGAGGAGTTTGGGACTTTTGAGCATGAGCTGCCCATTCTTTCTGCTTGGTCCTGCAACAAACTCTGTACTTTCCTTCACACAACTCAGCGCCAGCAGATTGGCTTTGCTGTGCATCCGGTGAGCAGATCCACACTTGGTTTGTTAACACAATGAAATCTTCTTAGGTGGCTCCCTAATCTGCTGTATTTTCTTCAAATCACTTATCATTAACTATTTACCATTTGCCTTTCCCTATAGAATGCATGATCTGTTAGGAATTCACTACTTTATTCCAAATACCTAAAACAGTACCTGGCATTTAATAACAAGAGCAAACATTGTACCACACGTTATTTTAAGTGCTTTAATGTATTAACTCAGTTAATCCTCTCAACAACTTTATGAGACAGGCCAATTATTATCTTCATTGAACAGAGGAAAAAACCTGAGACTGACAGAGAATTTAACATAAATAACCTTCCCATGGCCACACAGCAGGTAAATGGCAGGGCCATCAATCTAATGAGTTTGGCTCTTGACAACCATGCTATACTGTCTATCGCCTCTCACAGTAGGCATAAAGAAAGCACCCCCCACCCAAAAAAAACTCTTGAATGAATTTTTTAAATTAAAAAAAGTTAAGCATACTAGTGTGACAGATATACTTAGAGTGATATTATCAGTTCATCCTAATTTTTTTTAACAGCATGGCATACACACAAAAATGATACTAGGTAAACACAGGAAAACAGAGATGGTTCTGGGAAAGAGGGAACCAGCCTGGGACCTCAGCCACAGTGACAGCTAAGATCAGTATCATTTTGGCGAAAGTGTAATCCATTCTAGGTTTTGGGAAGCTATAATTATCAATTACAAGACTCTAAAAACAATGTAATAGCACAAAATTCAGTTCTGGAATCCAATTTTCTAGGCCTGGTATATATCTTATATAGACAAAGGATTTGAAAATATATAATCAAGATGCTATTATTTCTCTTACTAAACACTGACTGGCATTATCAAATGGTATCAGCTCCTAGCTAAATAAATGGATAACTACGAGAACTATTTCTGATTGCAATCAAGAAAGCAAACCAGAAGATAGATGTGTTTAAGAGATCATCTATCTAAACACACACATAGATAACATATTCTGGCATTGTAACAAATGTGAAAATAAACAAAAATTCATATTACACCGTATTCCTATCCCTACTACACCTTCACTAACTGTCTTCCTTGCAGGAAGGGCAACAGTCTAGTGAGTAAAACTCTTAAGCAAAAATGAGAAACGCTATATTCTAACCCGTTCTGTCACTTAATGATACAACCAACTGGCACTTACTTTTCAGAAAGTTCTATTTCCTGGAATGTTTCAAAAATAGTTTTTATAATAAGGTCTATATAACAATAAAAATGCTCTAAAAAGAGGGAGATTTTGTTTGCATTACGTAATATATCCAAGTAAATTTGGCAGTGTTGGCAGCGGCAGGCAATACCATCGTACCAAAAGCATCCCTTAAGTCTGAAGCTGGCGAAAAAGCTACAGGTTTGTGACCACTTACATTAGCTCAAAATCACATATCCTTCACTTCCATCTTAGGCGTACTGTATTCTGGTAGTGAGCGGAATGTAACTATCCGTTTTATTAATTATGAAATGATTGAAGCAGGAAATACAGGAACGTTTCCCCCCCTATTTTTGCAGAAGTGGAAAAGACGTAAAGAACCTCAATACCAATTGGGAAATAATGGGTAACTCCTGTTTTTTTCCTGGATTTTTTTTTCTAAGTGTAGTCAGCAGAATCCTCAGGATGCCCTGACTACCACTGATTCATTATTAACAAGTTCCCTCTGGTAATAGTTTTCAAAGGAGGATCCCAGTGGAGGATCGCGCACAGTGGAGCTCAAGCTTTCACTTACCGAAAGGAAGGAAGAAGGTGTTTGGCACCAGGGCTGGAAAGCTCACTCCAAGCGACCCGGGCCACAACTCTCCGTGGGAGCCCCTCCCTCCCCCCACGTCCGGCGACTGGGAGGAAGGAGGATGGCCGACCCCACTGGTACTGAGAAAGCTCCAAAAGGGGCGAAAAGTGGACTTTCTCCTCAGCGGAGCCGGGAGCAGTAGAGGCCGGAGCCCACGACGCCACACCCACCCCGCGCGTTCCCCTCGCCACCCGGCGCCGGCTCCGCCCGGCCCCGAGGCCTCTCGCGCGCTCCCTGCCTAAACAGGGGAACAAGCAGAAAGCCGGCGCCCGGGTCCTGCCCGCCACGCCTTGCTTCTTCGCGCCCACACTCATCCTCTCACCTGCCGGCTCCCCAGGAGGAGCAGGACGCCTCTTGTCCCTGAGGTGCGGCCACCGCCTGGGGTCCCTCCATCGTCTCCTGAGACGCAGCCGCCGTTGGCTACCGGGAGGTAGGGAAGGGGGCGGGACCGCGAGGTCAAGGGGCGGTGACGTCACCGGAGGGGCGGGTCTGGGAGCGCGCTGCTGAGCCCGGCCTTCCCGTCAAGCCCAGGGGCGTCCTGGCTTCCGGTTTGGGTGTGGCCGTTGGGCCGGCTTTGCTGCGGGTGGCCGCCGTGAGCGGCAGCGCTGTGGAGGGGGTCTGGTACCTGTTAACGGAACCGAGCGCTGAAGGTACCCAGAGGATTCCAATGGCCAGCGAAGTGATGGGTTTGCGTATCAACATCTTTAAGAGTTGTATAGGAAGAGGAAAAAACCCTTTCATTTTATAAATTAAAAAAAAGCGAAGGCTATTAATAAGTTAACTTCCGATTTCTAGTCTGGGATTTTATTTTAAGACGTTATACGTTTAACAAATAATTTCGGACTTCTAATACTTATACGGATTTTATAGAATCATGTGATTTTTAGAGCTGTGAATGACATTATGTCATCTAGGTTGCCCTCTTCAGTTTATGGGTGAGGGGCAGGAACTTTGGGTCAGTGTAAGTGACTTTTGTCTGATTAAGTACTAGAACATGTGTCTAAGAACTTATCATCTAATGCTCTTTCCATTGACTCCTCTTTCACCGTTCTTACGAAACAGTAAGAATGTGTACCTCTCCATTCTCCTTTCAAAACTGCACATCTCCAAATATCTGGAAATTTCATGCTGCTCACAGATGTCATCCTTCAGGTTTCTCGATCAAGTTGTGTACTTTTTCTACAAAATCTTGAGAATGAACTGGTCTATGTCCCATTCAAGGTTCTGCTCTGGCACTAGATTTATCTGCTGCCTGTTCTCTTTATTCTAAAGCTAATAGATATAAATATCTTTCATCCACCCCACAAATTAAGACATATTTCTATGGCCCTCCCTCTAATTTCTTTTCCCTATTTCTTTCCTTCCTAAACATTTACTGAATGCCTAATAAACATTAGGACCCAATGACTAGACAATAATCAGGTGATAGAAATACAGTGATCCCTGATATCATCAATCTCATTGTGGGAAGCCAAAAAAGGTGGGAAATAAATGAAAAAATAACATCAGATAGTAAATATGATGAAGAAAATTTGAAAACGATAAGGAGATGGAAAGAGACTTGGGGAGGACGAGGGAGAAAATTTTGGATAAAGTAGTCAAAGATGGCCTCTTTGAAGAAGTGACAATTTGAGCTAAAATCTAAATGATGCGAGTCCTGTGAATATCTTATCAGAAGAGCAGTCTAGGCAGAGGGAAAAGCAAGTGTATACTTACTATTTTTCTTTTGTAGGATTTGTCACCTTTTAGTATATATTTCTACCTTTAAGAGAGACTGGGCTTTTCCTAGAGAAAGAGATTCAAAATGTGAGGAGGAATTTGATGTGCGAAAGAACTCCATTGCTGGCTTTGAAAAGGGAAGGGACCACATGGAAAGGAATGGAAATGGCCTCTAGGAGCTTAGAGTGGCCTCCAGCTATCAGCCAGTATGAGAAGGGAACCTTGGCCTACAGCTGCAAGGAACTAAATTTGGTCAACACATGTATGAACTTGGAAGAAGACCCCAAGTTCCAGAACAGAGCGAGTAAGCTAATACCTTGATTTCAACCTTGGGAGGCCCTGGGCAGAGAACCCAGCTATAATGGGTCCCCAGTTCTGACCTGAGAACTGTGAGATAATAAATTTGTATTTTTTAAGCCACTGTGTTTATGGTAATTTGGTATACAGCAATGGAAAATGAATATACCAAGTTTCATCTAACACCCACATTTCTTCACAGGTTTGAAGTAGCATTTTGATAGACTTAAAGAAAGCGAGACTGTATATAAAGGGATCTATGTTAGGCTGGACTGCAACATGGACCCAGGGTGCTGTTTTCTTGGAATCTACAGAGTTAAAATTGGTGGGAAATGCGTCTACAAACCCCTTTCTGAAGTTCTACAAGTAGAGGCTGTTTCTCTGTGTCATTATAACTTAGATCATTTAGCCAAGAATGGGATATTTCAATTTCAATGAAAGGATTTCAAAGAGCAAGTTCTTTTTGACAGTTTATTATTTTAGAGATAGGGGTTTTCTGTGAGGAAAAATGCAGCACTTACACGAAGTGTGGCTTCTTGGTGACAATTTACAGCAGATTATTGGGAGAAATACTATTTTATGTTAACTTTACTGCTGGCTTTATCTGTGTTTATTATTTATACCTGATGAATGGCAAAGCAGATTTTTACTTTTTCAGTCCAAACTCATTTTTCCTTCCTTACAGATTTCAGGAAAATTTTTCTAACAATAGAGAGCTACCTTTTTTGTTGTTGTTGCTTTGATATAGTGTTAAAAAAATATGGTGGCTTGATTTCTGTGGTTTCTTGGTGCACTCTCCTCTATTATGATCTGTCAAAGAGCCACTGTCTCTTTCCTTCATTTCTGTTGTCCCTGTGCTGCATGTGTTTTCATATGTATGTATATATGAATGCAATTACATTCTCAAGGCATAGCACAATAATTTTATTTTAAAATCTTTATTTTGGATACTTTTAGATCTGCAGAAAATTTTCAAAGGTAAAACAATTTCTGTATATACTTCACTCAGCTTCCTCTAATGATAACATCTTACAAAATCATGGTACATTTGTCAAAACTAAGAAATTAACATTGGTACAGTACTATTAACTAGCTATATATTTTACTGCATTTCACCAGTTTTTCACTAATGTCCTTTTTTCTGTATGGATCCAGAAAATCCAGGATACCACAATACATTTAGAATTGCCCCGTCTTGATCATTATGTAAGTGTAAATTATAATGAATATCTTCCTGAAACTTTATGTGCAAATTGGATTTCTGTAAATTAAATAGTTTACATCATTAATTATAAAGATAATCAAAATCAA